TGTCTGTCTGTCTGTCTGTCTGTCTGTCTGTCTGTCTGTCTGTCTGTCTGTCTGTTACTATTCATGGTCTGCAGAAGTGTTATTGACCGGTTCCAGTAATCTATAAACGCAGTATTGTCCACCTCAATTCTTTCTGAATCGATTGCGCTGACAATAAGACCGGTGTGAAAACCCACCAAGGTCCAAATATTACACAATTTTTCAGAACATTAGTCTGCTTTGTATAACTCCGGTAAATGTTATTTCTTGTTCTACAGAAACAAGAACAAAGTTATGCACTATTGATAAGCCTGGTCACATTAGAACTGTTACAAAGTTTGCGCTATTGAAGCAGTAGCTGGCTAAGACCTAGCCTTATTATACCCTTCCATTTAACTCCATTTAAAGGATCAATCAACGAGCATGGTCGTCTTTGTATAAATCGATCGAGCGTTGCTTTTATCGATTCATAGATTGATTGATCACCCATGGATTTGCAGTCAGCGATTGATAGCCTGGGCGGCTTGGAACTTTGCCCCACACGGAGTTGGAACAGAAGGTGTCTTAAGAGCCCTTCACAACGAACACATGAGCAAGTCAGTGATAGTTCGCTGCGTTACTTGGCGCAGTCAGTCGATGTAAGTCCAAACTTTCTCCTTAAACCTTAAAACAGATCCCCCCACGAGGCTGGGAATTTGTTATTTTTGTGCCTCTGGTACTGATAATGCATGACAAGCTTTTTTGTCCTTCTAAAAAGTGTTCTCTTGTTTCATGCACATAGTAACATCCATCCGTCCATCCATCTATCCATTCATCCATCCATCCATCCATCCATCCATCCATCTTCCAGATGAGATAATGTAATTATGTTCTAGAGTAAAGTCAATTTGGCGCAGCGCTGCGTAAAAATTTTACAACGTAACAAAACTGAAAATCTAAAACCACCACTCCTTCAAAATAACTCATTCCCCCACCTGAACACCCCCACCCCACTCCACTCCCTCCCGTGGTTCATTGTTTTCTTTTCTAACTGTGTAAGGAACCCATTATAACAATAATCAAACTGTACTGTAGTGTAATCTTTCGGGGAGAAAGACTGCTATTCCAACAATCCAGGCCTTACACTTGTTTCATATTATATTATAGCAATAGTACAAGCCTTTGATGTAGACTTTGTTTTATCGTTGACGTAAAAGTGTATCTAGTTTTCTGTAGCAAACCCATCTCGCCTTTTTCCAGCACTGAATAACAGCTTCCAAGATACACTTCTGTCTTACTCAAACTTAATAATAATAATAATAATGATAATAATAGATAGCATTTGTATAGCGCAAATCCCCGCTTAAAAGCAAGCTCTATGCGCTTCACAATCTATACTATTACCCCAGCAGACCTGAGAGCATTCTGAAACAACTTAAAGTTCCTGGGAAGCATACAGTGCAAGCAGCCATTTATAGGCGCTAAAACACTAACATACAGACAAAATCTTTCACAGTCTATGAGAGAACACAAGTATGACATACGTTGTTGATTAGCCCACTCACGATGTATCAGATGTGTAGACCTCCACCGAGGAGATTACCAGCGGATTAATTCCTGCCCAAGGCGTGCAATAATCCCGTGTTTCCATCGGGCTATCACAGGCAGGAGTCTCTACAATAGCCGCGGTGCTGGACTGACCACAGCTGACAATTTACTCTCTGATAAAGTAGTTTGAGTGCATTGTGTAACGTGTTACCGCGGACACCTCAAGAGATTGGTGTTTTGTTAAGGTTATTGGCACAGTTGTTTTTTCAGCAGAGGTTGTGATCTTGGTGGTTTGTGGCGGTCCATGCTTGTGTCTGAGTCTGAGACGTATCTTTTCGTATTGATTAGAGGTAGGTTTCTGTGTTGCTTTTGTTTTTTCTATTTAAATCCCATCCTTGTGGGTTTTTTTTTTTCTTTTTCTTTTCTTTTCTTTTCCTTTTAAGTCCATCTTTGTCTGAGACTGAGAGTGGTATCTTTTCATATTGATTAAAAGTGGGTTTCTTTTTCTTTTTTTTTTCTTTTCTTTTTTTTTCTTCTCTTTTTCTCCAAAATGCCATTCTTGTGCAGTCCATCGTACACCCATGTAGGTTTTTCTTTCTTG